GAGTGGGCCATTCAGCCCATCGAATCCACGCTGACCCTCCAAAGATCATCCCACACCCTGAGCCTACCCCTGTAACCCTGCATTTCCTGTGGCTAACCCACCTAGCCTGCACATCCCTGGGCACTATGAGCAACCTGCACAAGTTTGGACGCAGACACAGATAGAATGTGCAAACTCCACACAGACGGCTCTGTGAGGCAGCAGCACTAATTTCTGAGCCACCGTGCTGCCCATCTTATCATAGGAGAACTCTGTCATCCCAGGACCAATCTAGTGAATACCTGTAATACCTCAAAGTATTTTGTTTGATAAGCGCGGAGATCAAAATTGCACATAACACACACTAGCTGAACTGTGCCAGTCACATAAATACTGTGGCTCCAAAAGCAGGTCAGACCTGGGGATTCTGCAGAAACTGCCTTCCAAACCTGTGACCTCTAGCAGCTAGAAGGACAAGGGCAGCAGATGCATGGGGACACTGACATCTACAAGCTCCCCTTGGTGCCAACCACCATCCTGACTTGGAATTTTGTCGCTGCGCTTTCGCTGTCATTGGATCAAAGTCTTGGAACTCCCTCTGCCCCAAAGTGTTTCAAAATGGCATCTCACGCTCACCTTCTCCAGAACACTTGTCCCAGCCAGAAATACCCACATCCCACGAAGGAATCAAAAAAGTCCCAAGTATTGTCTCACTAAAGTCTGTTACAGTTGTAACAAGACATATACTTTTATTCTTGTACTCCAATCTCCCTTGTGATGAAGGGCAACGTGCCATTCATTTCGTGTTGCTGCACAGCCATGCTAACTTTTTATGTGCTGCCAATTCTCTCTTAAACATGAACATTTACAAGCTTCACATGTCTGAAAAAGATCTGCTTTCTAATGACGATAAGTAGTTACTTCGCATTTCCCCACAATATTCTTCTTCAGCTGACATGTTGCCCACTCTACCCAAACCTCACTTGCAGTCTTTTTTTTTGTGTGTCCTCATACCTCGCATTCCTCTCGAGCGTGGTACCATCAGAAAACTGAGCCATGTCACTCTGTTTGTCTTTGTTCTAAGTCATTAATAAGGGTGATCATGCCTCCCGTTTTGTAGATGAGTCTCCTGTTTTGCTGAGCGTGTACGAAGACCACTAATGTATGAGTTTGCTTAGAGCTGTCATCCCTTATATTTGCCAGTGTGACCTCAGCTGTATTTTATAGGCAAATTCAATTCTCTTCTTGGACTCATTAAAACGAGAGACTGCTTAAAGTTGGTGAATCAATCAAGCCTGAAGTGACTGGTTTTATATATACTCAGACCAGACTTTTATAATAACTTACAGGAATCTGAACCTTTTATTATAAACATCTAGCCCAGAGGGACAGTAAAGAGCTATTGATAATTCCTACCCTCTCCTCAACTCATAAACTGTATTTCCCTTGCATGTAAATCAAAGATCAGAATTACTCCCATTGAAAATGTACAGCTTTTACTTAATTCCCCAATCTATTGCTTTGTTGCATGTGTATATAAGCAGAAGGGAGCCTGTAACTCACTGCTTTGATTTAGTTTTTTTTCCCTCTGACGCTGAAAAGCATCATTGTCTCTGTGCTGTTGCCTAATGTTCTGGAAAGGACAGGCCAAGAGTATGATGAACTGCTGAGCGGTCTACTAAGAGCTTTTATTTATGTTGAATTTACGACCGGGTGCGCAATATTCGCCAAAACTCCGCCTTCACTGAAAACGTACAGGTTCCCCACTGTGACGTGCCCCTTTGGGCACCATGTTAAATCTGTTGTCTCGTGAATTGTAGGTCGCGAGTATTATTGCGTTCACCATTCACGGGAAGCAGTGTCCAGAAGGATTTTGTCTTTTGTTCAGCTATGAACGAATGTCGTTTTGGAAAGGGGCTGGACTCTGAGAAACCTTTGTTATGCTTAGATTCTGAATTCTCTCCAGCAGCACTGAAAATGAAGCATTGTTAAAAAGCTTGTTTAATCCATACTCTGACCTATTTTGGCACCTTATTAACCTCTTACCAGTGTCAACTATGACTGCATTTCTGTTGTGCCTGAGTGTTGAGAAACATTGCAAGAACCCATTGACTGTTCTGCACAGGTGTCTTGCCTATTGCCTTCCTTCGTTCTTTATCTGTTGTGACACAGGTTCCATCCCATTCCACAAGTACTGTTGGCTCTCCAGCACCTAACTCGCGTGTTTTGTCTTCACGTGTTGACCTCAATGTTGAACATAGAGTCATACAGCACAGAAACAGATCTTTTCAGTCCAACCAGTCCATGCTGAACATAATCCCAAACTAAACTAGTCCCACTTGCCTGCTCCTGGCATGTATCGCTACAAACCTTTCCTAGAACGACGAAGGATGAGAGATGACTTGATAGAGGTGTACAAAATGATCAGAGGTATAGACAGAGTGGACAGCCAGAGACTTTTTTCCTAGGGTGGAGGTAGCTATTACGAGGCAGCATAGTTTTAAAGTGAGTGGAGGTAGATATAGGGAAGTCGTCAGAGGTAGGTTCTTTACTCAGACAGTGGTCGAGGCGTGGAATGCATTGCCAGAGAGGGTGGTGGAGTCGGCCTGATTTGGGGCATTTAAGTGGCCACTAGATAGGCATATGGATGATAGTATAAGGTAGGGGTGGAGGTTAGATAGAATTTAGGATTAGGGTAAAAGTTCGGCACAACATCATGGGACGAAGGGCCTGTACTGTGCTGTACTGTTCTATGTTCTGTTCATGTACTTTACCAAATGTCTTTTAAACGTTGAAATTGTGCCCACATCCACCACTTCCTCAGGAAGTTTGTTCCACATACGAGTCATGCTGTGTGTAAACAAAAATAAAGGCCCCTCATGTCTTTTTTTAAAAGCTCTCTCTCCTCTCACCTTAAAATATGTCCCCTAGTCTTGGAATCTCCCACCCAAGGGAAGACACCTGGTATTCAGCTTATCCATGCCCCTCATGATTTTATAAACCTCTGTGAGGTCACCCGTCAACCTCCTACACTCTAGTGGAAAAAAATCTCAGGGGTGGCACAATGGCTCAGTGGTTAGCATTGCTGCCTCACTACACTAGGGACCCGGGTGCGATTCCACCCTCTGGTGACTGTCTGTGTGGAGTTTGCACATTCTTCCCATGTCTGCTTGGGTTTCCTCCGGGTGCTCCAGTTTCTGCTCACAGTCCAAAGATGTGCAGGCCAGGTGGATTGGGCATGCTAAGTTGCCCGTAGTGTTCAGGGGTGTATAGATTAGGTGGGTTATAGGGGAATGGGTCTGGGTGGGATGCTCTGAGGGTCAGTGTGGACTTGTTGGGCTGAAGGGCCTGTTTCCACACTGTAGGGATTCTATGACCTATCCAGCCTGTCTTTAGAACTCAAAGCTGCCATACCTGGCAACATCCTGGTAAATCTCTTTCTAGACCCTCTCTAGCTTAATAATATCCTTCTTAATAGGGTGACCAAAACTGGACAGAGTGCTCCAGAAGAGGCCGCACCAACGTCCTGTACAACCTCCAGCATGACTTCCCAACTCCTATACTCAAAAGGATTGAGCAATGAAGGCAAGCGTGCTAAATGCCTTCTTAAACATCCTGTTTATATGTGATGCAAACTTCAAAGAATTATGTACCTGCACCCCTAGGTTCCTCTGTCTATAGCAACACTCCCAAAGGCCCTACCATTATCTGCAGACAGCATGGTTATTGAGCTAGAGGAACAATCTCCTTAATCCTACTCTATAGCACATTCAGAGTCTGTAATAATCATTGTGCATCAAGCACAGTGTTTTCACCAGACTTTCTATAGAAAGGGAGGGAGGCAAGTGATGTTGACTGTGATTCATTAAGCGGTCAGAAAATATCAAATATTCATGTTAAAGCATGCTTTTCCGAACTTGAAATGCTTCTGGAGAGCCTGTATCGAATCATATCACTCTGGATGAAGTATGGGGTGATCGCAGGAATTGTAATAATGGAAACAATTAGAGGTTTCAAGTAGTGTTTAGTCTCATCTTTGAGTTACATAGCTTTGAATATAGTTTTCTTTGATCATATTGAAAAGCAGACTCGAGAGGCTGTGTTTTGATTTTTTTTTAATCTTCTTATGAATCCATGTTAAATATATTTTTGGTTTGGTGTTTGTTTTTTATGACGTTTATAGGCTATAGCCCTCCCTTTTCGCAAACTTGGGTGACCATCCTCGACTACAGTAAATTTTCTCCTCGCTTTTTCCATGGCATCTGTCCTTGGGCTTTCTAGGATGTCCTTTCATCTGTGGAAGGCTTTAAGTTCTGAGTCCAAACCTCCTAGAATTTTGACTTGCAATTTCCCAAAATGGTATATCAACCCGAATAAAGGAGTTATTTCTCAGGGGCACATGGAAGTGGTTCATGTTCAAATGCAACAAGATCTAGACAATATCCAGCCTTAGGCTGACAATTGGCAAGTAACATTTGCACACCATCACTGAATTCTCCCCCTATCGACATCTTGGTGATTATCATTGACCAGAAACTCAGTTGGATTCACCACATAAACACAGTGGCTACAAGAGCAGGTCAGAGGCTAGGAATACTGTGGTGAGTAACTCACCTCCAGTCTCCCCAAAGACTGTCCAAAATCTACAGGGCACAAACCAGGAGTGTGATAGAATTAATAGTCACTGTTATTGCAAGCCTATTTTCGAACTGCAATAACTAAATTGTGTTCAAGAAAAAAGCTTTTAAAAAAGCACGTTTGTTTAATGCTGCTACATTTTTTCCTTTGAGTTGCCCACAATGGTTTCCTCAGGATTGATCCGAAAGAGATTCTGAGATAACTTGGAAAAGTTGGCAATGCTGATGATCCACGCTGTTGAGTTTCTTTTGCGGCGAGGTAGTTCAAAAATCATCGCGACCCGATTTGGGTTACAGATGTATATTCGCTTGGAGAATCTATCATCAGTTGACTTTGTATTTTGATTAAATGAGCTGGAAATAATGGTGAGTTTCTGTTTACAGAGTGACCGACTGCTGATCAAAGGGGGCCGAGTTGTCAATGATGACCAGTCTTTTTATGCTGACCTGTACATGGAAGATGGCCTCATCAAGTACGTACAGTTTTCTTTGACACCTCATCATGAAATTAGAAATGTACTTGCAACGGCTGTTGTTTGTTTGTGTCTAGGTTTGGCCCCGTGGTCAAGTTATTTTAGTGTGCAACAGTCGTGTTTATATTGAGGGTTAGCGAGTTCAGTTGGCCGAACGGCTGGTTCGCAATACAGAGCGACACCAACATTCTTGTTCCATTCCCCCACTGGCTGAGGTCACCTTCGAGATCCCTCCATCTCAACCTTGCCTGAGGCATGGTGACCCTCAGGTTAAACCACCACTAGTTGTCTCTTTCTCTCTCTAATGAGAGAGCCACTCTATCGTCCAGTAGGACTACAGTATTCAGAACAGCATCTCTGACATGACCTGAGGCTTATTGTATGGAGTAAATGAAGATATAATGCTGAACCATGAGAGAGATTTGGAGCAACGACCAAATGTTTTGGCAAAGAGGGTAGATTTTAAAGGGTGTCTCACAGGAGGAAATTGAAGTGGAGAAGTGTGCGGATGGTAATTCCAGAGTTTAGGGTTTAGGCAATTGAATTGACCAATTCTGGTCTCTTAAACTTCACCGATTTTAATGTTTTAAAAATTCATTCACGGGATGAGGGCGTCGCTGGCTAGGGCAGCATTTATTGCCCATCCCTAATTGCCCAGAGGGCAGTTAAGAGTCAACCACGTTGCTGTGTGTCTGGAGTCACATGTAGGCCAGACCAGGTAAGGATGGCAGTTTCCTTCCCTAAAGGACATTAGTGAACCAGATGGGTTTTTCCAACAATCGACAATAGATTCATGGTCATCGTTAGACTCTTAATTCCAGATTTTTTGTTTGGTTGATTTCAAATTCTACCATCTACCACCTTGGGATTCGAACCCAGATCCCCAGAACATAAACAGAGTTAACGTTTCGAGTCCAGTGACCCTTCCTCAGAACAGTTCTGACGAAGGGTCACCAGACCCAAAACGTTAACTGTGTTTTTTTCCTTCACAGATGCTGCCAGACCTGCTGAGCTTTTCCAGCAACTTCTGCTTTTGTCCTCAGAACATCACCTGGGTCTCTGGATTAACAACCCAGTGATAATACCAATAGGCCATTGCCTCCCACTAATTCAAAGCTGATATTGCAGAGGGGTGTGGGGCAGGAGATTGCAACAGTGTGGGCTGGGAAAGCAGAAGCCATGTGGAACTTTAAAAAGAAATTTTACAGTCAGGAGCTAGTGTAAGTCAGCAAGTCCCAGGAGTGATAGGTATGTGGGCGTTGATGTAAGGACATGAGCAACAGGGTTTTACATGACCTCAGGATTACGGAGGTTATAATGTGGGAGCCAGTCAGCAGTGAGGTAGACTAATTCACATGTAACAAAAGCACGAACGAGGATTTCAGCAACAGTTGAGCTGAGGATGTTAGATTTTAGATTTAGATTTTTACTGTCGCAAGTACAGGAGTACAGTGAAAAGTGCATAATGTCGCCAGACGTGGCACCACCTTGGGTACAAAGGTACAAAAAAAAGTAGGTATAAAATAATAGGGGAAACAGAGTTTAAAAAGTTAAGCATAGAACATAGAACATTACAGCGCAGTACAGGCCCTTCGGCCCTCGATGTTGCGCCGACGTGTAAAACCAATCTGAAGCCCATCTAACCTAAACTATTCCATTATTATCCATATGTTTATCCAATGACCATTTAAATGCCCTTAAAGTTGGCGAGTCTACTACTTTTGCAGGCAGGGCATTCCACGCCGTTACTACTCTCTGAGTAAAGAACCTACCTCTGACATCTAAAGCATTTCCTTCATAGAATAAATGGAAAAATAAAGAAATAATGTAACTATTAACATTAAAGTCCTTCTTAATATAAACTAGAAAAATAAAGGAATTAAGTTAAAAGTTCAGCAGTCTTTGGGTTCTCCGCTTAGCTTGCTGTTGGGGAGATCTCAGCCACCTGTTCTTGCCGCTACAGATATTGGAGGGAGCTCCCTGTCTGCTCACTCTGGGCATCACTGGGCTGTGATGTATGATGTTGGGTGAAGTCATGGTCCCGATGTATCACTGAGCACAGATAATATGATGTCAATTTAGTAACCAATCCGGTTTATTCTCGGGCAATGTCAGGAGAGTTGGTGCTGTTATCTAGGGGAAGGGAGTTTGAGGATCAGTGGTAAGTCAATTGCAACCCATCACCTCTGGTTCAAGAATAACACCCAACATCTAGTTTTGGCAGTACCACAGATATTTCACGAGGATTTAGTTTGGTATAAATGCTCCATAATTGCTGGTGACACCCAAATCGCAAATACCAGCTTTTGGCCTTTCATGCTTGCATGGGCCAGAGACGTGATGCTTTAAATACAGTGAATTTGTGAACTCAGCGTGTAGCTTGGCATCAGAGAGCAAACAGTGAGAAAGATCTTGGCCGTTTTCAGTGGTATTTTGGTTTGCCGTTGATGGATTGTGTGGACATTGGTTGCCTGTGATGGCCAGGTCTGTCTGGAGTTCGCAGTAAGTGAAAGTGTTAAAATGAGGAGAGCCGCAGAATGGTTGAAAGACTTCTATAGCAAGTCTTATGATATCCGCCAGTTACGCTGCTGCCTGTCGTGATAGTGGCAGTAAATTTTGTTTGGAACTCTTCCCAGTCAGTGGTATATTCAAGTTATCACATTGCTGGAGCTGACATACTGAAAATCAGTTCCAAGCCATACATCTACAGCATCTCTCTTGTCGGCCTTACAGCTTACTTCTGTATTTATGATTGGGATCAAACATCCTGTGTCAAAATTCCTTTGGCATCGTAAGATTTTTGCTGCGGTGAAATCACGTATGGGAATACTGAATCTAGGACTGAGTCCTTCAATCAGAATGGAAATGTCTGGAGTCCCATGATGCCAACATGATGGGGTATGTCTTCATCGCCACGTTCCTCGCCAGATTCATATACTAGCCTGGCTTGTACTTCAGTTTCTGACTGTTCATCGTCATATTTCAAATGACTCTGTTTTCCCCTCATTGTGGGACTGAGATGTCTAACAGATGATCTGAGGGACTTTCTTCTGTCCATACCTGCCCAGTGCCTGACAGGATTTGGAGATACTGATAGATAAGCCATCTGGGAGATACTTCTGGAGCATTCCACATATGTTGGCTGAGAGTTTGGATAGAGTTGGCATGTAAGAGGTCATTGACAGGAACCTATAACCCCTTGTGTGCTTTGAGCAACGTGTTTTATCGTTTTCTTTATCTGAAAATGCTTCAATGACTACAACCTTGTGGTTGGTGCCAGCTGGAAAGAACATGCAGGCTGCATGGCCTTGTTCCCAGAGCTGGCTGTTCTGAGACAGCATCCTCCTCCATTTAAGATAACTAACGCCATTGGAGTGAAGGATAAAAGCAGTTCTCTCCCGGTCCCTGGGATATCTGAATGTTTCCTGCTGTGTGGTGTAGTGTTTATAACGGGTCCCACGGACTATTTGCGCAACGTTAGTCAGCAAGCATTGTTCATTGTTTAGTCTGAGTCATTTAACTCTTCCTTTGTATAGTTTCTGTATGTTTCAATACAGGAATAGTACAACACTAAAAGGAATAGGACTACCTCTGGACAGACTGTTTCACGTGGCCAGTGTGGCATTCAATAGATAGGGGCAGCACGCATGACTCAGTGGTTAGTACTGCTGCCTCACAGTGCCAGGGACCGGGGTCTTGGGCAACTTTGCACATTCTCCCTGTGTCTGCGTGGGCTTTCCTCTGGGTGCTCCGGTTTCCTCCCACAGTCCAAACATTTGCAAGTCAGGTGGGTTGGCCATGCTGAATTGCCCCTAGAGTCCAGGGATGTGCACATTAGCTGGATTAGCCATGGGAAATGCAGGGTTAGAGAGGTGGGGGGGCAGGTCAGTGTGGGATGGTCTTTGGAGGGTCGGTGTGGACTTGATGGGCCGAATGGCCTGCTTCTACTCTTTAAGGATTCTGTGATTCAGTGAGGACAGTTGATTTGTGAATCTTTCTGACTGAGCTGGGCGTAAATTCAACATGACTGATGAGACAAAGTCTCCGGGGCATCATTTCCCCCTTGTATTTGAAGTTGGCAGCTTGTGGTTCTTGCTACACTAGCATTATTCTCCATCTGTCCCATGCGCCCGAGCCCGAAGCTGGCATTGGGGTGCCGAGGATGTGCAAATTGGGTTTACCCTGCCATTGGAAGGACTGCTGTGTAAAATCAGTCATTAGATGGTTTGGGTTTGTATTGTGTATGTCCCTCCCACTTGTTCACTAACCTGCAGGTGGCCATTCATGGTTGGAACCCTCTATCACAAACTGTACTTTCAAAACTCTATATTCCATTTATCTTCTTGGTTCCACAGGGAATTCTGTGGACGGCTGCTAGGCTATGGTTGGTACACTCGCTGTGTAATGGTGAATTGGCCTCTGTTGCTTGCCAGTTTAATCCGTGAGTCCTGTAGCTGGATTTGGCTTGGGCCTCCTCACTATATTTGCAGGCAAGTGGGATGAAATCTCACCTCCTATCCCTTCTGTTTCTTCCCCTTCATTTCTCCTAACATTCAGACATTGCAGAGTAGTAGAGTTCCACTACTCCACTGGTAACCCCTCCCCTGCAATGTTAACCCCCCCCCACCACTTCATCTGAGATGGAGCCCAGCCAGTTGACCTTTGGGTTGAAAGTGGAATGGGAGGAAGTTTGTGGTCAAGCCTCTTTCTTTCCTAGTTTGTCCTCCTGTGTAAGTCAAGAAAGGGGCCCTGTTTCTTTACCTCACCCTGTCAACAACATTTGTGCCGGTTATCACTGCCCAAGTCGATCAGGGACCAAACCCAGGGTCTTCCTCATCTTGTGACTTAGTTTCTCAATTGGGATAGTCTCAAGTAACTTGTCTAGTCGTTTATTTTCCATTAGTAATTCGTTCTTATCATCTCATCTGCCAGTTAGACCACAATATGTGGTGAATATTTCCATTTGCTGAGATCATCGAGTGTGGTAACTTTGCTGTTTTCTTTCTCACGAGACGGAATCATCGTGCGACTAATCAGAATGCATCCGAAAGCCACAGATGTCTGGGTGAAGGGAATTCTTTGGCCCGATGCTCATTCACTGATCTGTACCACGTTGTCTAAATCCGAGCAGGTCATCACTGAGGGGTGACAAGTGATCTGCCAGACTCGGCCAAGACAGGAAGAGGTTAAGAGAGGAATCAGCCAGGATATTGTCACAGTTCGGTGAATTCTGATGGGTAGAACACATTGAGTACAATAGTAAGGAAGCTTTGTTGCCATTGGTAAAGTCACACTTAGAAGACGGTGCACAGTTTTGGTCTCCGTACCTTAGGAAGTTGCTGTTTGAAACAGCAGCTGGACTTGCTGAGTAGAAATCTTATAAAATCTTAGAATACCTACAGTGCAGCTAGAGGCCATTCGGCCCATTAAATCTGCACTGATTCTTCAAAGAGCATTCCACCCAGATGCATCCCCTATCCCTGCATTTTCCCGTGGCTAATTCACCTCCCCTGTTCACCTCTGGACACTGTGGAGCAATTTAGCATGGTCATTCTGCCTAAACTGCACATCTCTGGACTGCGGGAGGAAACCAAAGCACCTGGTGCCAACCCATGCAGGCAATGGGAGAACATGCAAACTCCACTGCGAGAGTGGAATCAAATCCAAGTCCCTGGCGTTGTGAGGCAATGGTGCTAACCACTGAGCCACCGTGCTGCCCGTACCCAGATCTGTCCCTGGTGTTTTGATTCCCAGGCTTAGCAGTGGCCTGATGATTGCTTGATTGATGTCTGGTTCAACAGGCTTTCTCTGGCAGACGCAGCGTGGGTCTTTCACTGGCTATCTGGCCTGCCTGTCAACTCTGTTCCCCTCTCCATGGATGCTTCCAAACCTGCTGAGTATTTCCTGTTTTTACTTCCAATTTTCTGCATCTGCAGTGTTTTGCTTTTAGTCAATCTGTTACATGACCAAGTAAAGTGTTTTAACCAGGGCAGCAGAAGGTTTGCCTAAGTACTTGTCCATTAGGAAGACTATAATTGGTCAGAGTTCCTCCAGTCCATCACGATCCTGACACACATAGGATTGGTGCATGAACATCCAGTGGCAAAAGCATTGAACGTAACTGGGCTGGTTTGAGGACCTTTGTGAATCATTGACTGTTTAGACAAAGTGTTGGAGAGCCCTGCAGAGTTAATCCCATCAGGAGGGGAGTCGAACTTTGCTGTCAACATTACAAATGACCTTCAGGGAAGGTATGAATTTCATAGATGGCTCATAGAATGAGATAGGCAGGAAGAAATCAGAATGGCGACTTTGTTTTTGCACAGGATGAAAGAGAAGGCTGGTGTTCGGGATACACAAGTGTCTGATATTTTTAACGAGAACGTTAACCTAGAGTTTGTTTTGTCTCCATCATCAGACAAATCGGTGACAACCTGATTGTCCCTGGAGGTGTGAAGATCATCGAGGCTCACGGCAAGATGGTTATTCCTGGTGGGATTGATGTGCACACTCGATTTCAGATGCCATACAAGGGCACCACCACCGCTGATGATTTTCTTCAAGGAACGAAGGCAGCTTTGGCAGGGGGCACCACAATGATAAGTGAGTCAAGCAACTTCCTCATTCATACTTCAAAACCCCGTTTGTTGCGTGAAACTATAGTTCAACAAGCCCACATCAATGAGGCATGCCGCACGTGGAAAGAGCGCAGGTTTCGATCAGTCGTGTTTCACACCTGCAGCAACCCTCAATAACTTCACGCTTCCCTGAGATTTGTGAATGAATGTTTGGAATTATAGATGCAGTTTCTTATTTGGGCAATCACAACAAAGTTGAACTGTCGGGTGTCTAATTCTATTTTCAAGTGGCATTGAATGATCCTCAGTGGTTAGCGCTGTTGCCTCACAGCGCCAAGGACCCAGGTTCGATTCCACCCTCAGGCGACTGACTGTGTGGAGTTTGCACATTCTCCCCGCGTCTGCGTGGGTTTCCTCTGGGTGCCCTGGTTTCCTCCTGCAGTCCAGTGATGTGCAGGTTAGGGTGGATTGGCCATGCTAAATTGCCCATGGTGCCCAGGGATTTGCAGGTTAGGTGGATCGGCCATGCTAAATTGCCCATAGTGCCCAGGGATGTGCAGGTTAGGGTGGATTGGCCATGCTAAATTGCCCGTAGTGCCCAGGGATGTGCAGGTTAGGGTGGATTGGCCATGCTAAATTGCCCGTAGTGCCCAGGGATGTGCAGGTTAGGGTGGATCGGCCGTGCTAAATTGCCCATAGTGCCCAAGGATGTGCAGTTTAGGTGGATTAGCCATGCTAAATTGCCCTGTAGTGTGGAGGTGGATTAACCATGGGAAATTGAGGTTTATAGGGTTAGGGTGGGGGTGGGATGCTCTTTGGAGAGTCAGTGTGGAGTTGATGGACCGAATGGCCTGCTTCCACACTGTAGGGATTCTACGATTCTTTGTTATCACTTCCAAATGATGAGCGATCGGGAATGAGTTGCAGGAATAAATGAGGGCTTGGCGTAACCTTTCTTAACTTCACCCTGAGTATTTTGGGCAGAACAGGCCATCCTACAGCTGCTGTGATATCCTGGCCTTGGAGCGAGTATGAAGAGGGGACTGACCACCTGAGTTAGGAGGTTAGACCTATGAGGGACACAAAGGGTATGGGAGGGAAAGGTAATTAAAATCCTGTATGAAATAGCTAAACTAAATCCCAGAATGGTTTTCAGTCTGAATGCCGGCGATAGGACAAATTGGGGTTGTAGGTATAAGCTTAGAATGGATTAGATGAGTATGTGGTTGAGGTGTGACTTCCCTAAATACAAAATGTTGGTGATGCGAGATGCCCCACCAGCGATGTATTCCAAGGACAATGACATTGCAAACTTCAAGAGGGCAATATAGTTTGGCAGACCAGCCTGTCGAAGGGCGCAAATGGTAAGCTGAAGAAAGAAGTGGGCCTTATTTTTGTGGATGGACTTGGACTTGGACTGCTCCACTTCTAACACCACCACCTCGATGTTGCCTTTTCCCACATCAGCCATCTTGTACTTAAATTACAGTTATCATGAAACTGTTAGTTGTTTTTGTGTTTAATTGTGTTGTTAAATTGTGTTGGATTAGGAAGTGTGACCTCTCAAATTGCTTTTAGTGCTGCTAATTAGTTTACTTTAATCCGAAATACTTCCTAAAGACATTTGGATCATGTTAGAGTTGGGGCTGGTGGCAGACGATGTAAAATGAGGCATTCTTTGTGAACACCATCTTCTGGAGCTGGCTGCGTGAGTAAAGGATGGTAATTCCCAAACTATTTTTAAATACAATCCCGTGTTGTGGAAACCTATGTTTTTAGAATGCTCTAGAATTTCCCAGTGTCATGTAACCATCAGTCCATTACTCTGTCCAAGCCACTCCAGCTCAAGGGACTTTTCCTTGGAAGACATGCAAGTGCAGTTTGAGGGTCTTGAACTGGTTAATGTTTGAGCCCTGGGCGATGGGGCTGGTCTCACATCGGCCACAGTTCTGCATATGTAGATGTCAGTAGGAGATTCTTGAGAGTAATTCAACATGGAAACAGACCCTTCGGCCCAACTTGTCCATGCTGACCGGGTTTCCTAAATTGAACTAGCCCCGTTTGCTTGCATACGGCCCATATCCCTCTTAAACCTTTCTTATCAGTGTACCCGCCCAAATGTCTTTTAAATGTTGTAGTTGTACCCTCCTTACCACTTCCTCTGGCATACATGCACTGCCCTCTGTGTGGAAAAAGTTGACCCTCGGGTCCCTTTTTTTAAAAAAATCTTCACCCTCTCACCTTAAACCTACACCCTCTAGTTTTGGGCTCCCCTTCCCTGGGCTACAATACCTATGTCCTGCCTCTAACTGTGAAAAATGCAGAAACTGCTCAAGTCCAGGGTCTGTTTTTGAGCGGTTTCTCTCTTAGTATCTGTAGAAAATCCTTTGGAAACGGCCACGATTTGACGAGGGCCTTGAAATAACTCTACAGAGGCTGATATGCCGTTACCGTGTCACCCTTTATTTACATGTGCATAGTACTTGATGCTGGTCCGGCTTCCTTAGAGTCAGCCCTCAGAATAGAATAGAATAGAAAAGACTTTATTATCACATCCACATGAGTGAGTCCAGTCAAAAGTTTGTAATGTTGCCCCTCAGTGCCATATTAGGTACAGGATACTTAGGTACAGATGCTTTAAGTGTTGTTACAGAATTGAAGTATATTTAAAATATAAAATTAGCATGGGAATACAGAGTTTAAAAAGTTCAGAATGAGAGTAAAAAAGTACCTTTAAAGTACTCAAGTCCTTTTTCACTGAGTCCGTGCCTGCCGGGCTTCAGAACACAAGACCTTGCTGCCTCCATGAGTTATCTCCAAGGCCGGCCCGCGCTCGCAGTGCTCCCGCTCCCTTGCGGGACCCCGGCCCGTGCTCGCAGTGCTCCCGCTCCCTTGCGGGACCCCGGCCCGCGCTCGCAGTGCTTCCGCTCCCTTGCGGGACCCCGGCCCGCGCTCGCAGTGCTCCCGCTCCCTTGCGGGACCCCGGCCCGCGCTCGCAGTGCTCCCGCTCCCTTGCGGGACCCCGGCCCGCGCTCGCAGCGCTCCCGCTCCCTTGCGGGACCCCGGCCCGCGCTCGCAGCGCTCCCGCTCCCTTGCGGGACCCCGGCCCGCGCTCGCAGTCCTCCCGCTCCGGCCACGCCTTGTCTCCCGCGCTGGCCTGGTCTCAGACTCCATTGTCCATTCCTTCCAGGTGGGGTATTTTTAAGAAGTTAAAAGTTGGGCGGGACAGGGGAAGAAAACACTGCAGCCAGAAAGGGGGCAAAAGGGAAAGAAAAAAGAAACGGAACTGGCGAGCAGAGGAGCTCCGGCTGGAGCTTCTTACTGTGCCGCCATCTTAACTGGAAGTGAACAGAACTTCTGACGCTCCTGTTTATATCTGTCAGCCAGGGCGCCCTGATTGGACCCAGTTAACCAGGGATCTCATATTCTAGATGGTCCACTAGGCTGACCTCATTACAGTCACTACAGTCTAATTGTCATTTAGTTTTTCATACACTAGGTATGTTATGTTGACGCGAGTGAATTTTGGTTATCCCAGTCAGCAACTACCTTAGCTGTGTAGCAAAATGCTGTAGTAAACTCCTTCCACTTTTTTTTTATTGCCACATCTCCCCACTTCCGACTGCACCACCTAAATGTTCCCCTTTTCCCACGTCAGCCATCTTGTACTTGGGGTACAGTTGTCATGAAAAAGTCTTGCTTGATCATGTTGTGACAAAAGGCTTAAGAAGTGTGATCTCTCAATGCTTTTTTGCAGCTGATTAACTTAACTCCGGTTTCAGAATTCTAGCTCCCTGAGTGTACGCTTAATGAGCTCAGCTAATCCCAAACGCAATCCTGGAAAAAACAGGAATTTTGATTCTATTCAAAGGGTGTGGGAGTCAGATAGTGTGGCATAAATGCAGCAGTTAACTCAGTGTACTCGAATTGACTGAGGGCTGATGATTTTAAAGAAGAAATTTACATTGTCCATCGCAAAGTTGGACAGTAATATAATTGGCCTCTCAACCCTGCAGAGACACAATCTCTATTTAAGAGAGATTTTTAATTCCAGATTCCAGGCATGAGATATTAGCAATGGTAATGTTGTGTTATCATTTTATTCTAACTGTTGGGAAGATGTAGGTGGGTTAGTATTTGGGTTCATTGCTGTACGAAGAGGCCATATTTATAATCTGTCTTTAAATCTTGATGGAATCTTTAATTGGAGTCATAGAGATTTACAGCATGGAAACAGACCCTTCAGTCCAACTAGTCCACACCAACCAGAAATCTTATAGCAATCTAGCCCTATTTGCCAGCATTTGGCTCATATCCCTCTAAACCCTTCCTATTCATATACCCGTCCAGGTGCCTTTTAAATGTTGTAATTGTACCAGCCTCCTCCACTTCCTCTGGCAGTTCATTCCATACACGCACCACCCTCCTGCGTGAAAATGTTGCCCCTTAAGTCCCCTTTAAATCTTTCCCCTCTCGCCTTAAACCAATGTCCTCTAATTTGCTCCTGTACAGGTTTGTGATATAATCGGGGTGCTTTAAAGACTTTCTGTACATCTGTGGTAAGCATGCATGAACCCACCCTGGTGATATTTTGAATTTTGTGCATTTAAGAATCACATTGGACTCCCCTACCCTGGGGAAAAGACCTTGGCTATTCAGCCTATCCATGCCCCTCATGATTTTATAAACCTCTATAAGGTCACCCCTCAGCCTCCGATGCTCCAGGGAAAATAGCCCCAGTCTACTCAGCCTCTCCCTGTAGCTCAAACCCTCCAACCCTGGCAACATCCTAATAATTTTTTTTCTGAATCCTTTCAAGTTTCACAACACTTTTCCTATAGCATTCTTTTCAAGATTTTTTAAGAAATATATTTTTAAGAAGGTTGATCTCTTAATGATTGATCCATTTGAAAATTTCTTGGATTTAAAAATAAAACTGGTCCATGCGGCGTGGTGACCTTGCCCTGGAAGCAATACGCACAGGAAGAAGGTTAAGACCAGAGATCATGTGGCCTGACGTTCAAA